AGATGATGCAGGGGTCTTGTCCATAAGGCTGCAGTACTATATGGGGAAAAATGCAGAGAGCCCAGTTATTGGTGCTCATCTCTAAATTCTATTGGCATCTCCCTCCTGTGACTTTCACTCCACCTAGATGTTTCTGCTGTCTATATTCATCCTAATTCCCTTACTGGAAGGCACGACCCATGCCATGCAGCTTCAGATCACACAGCGCCACACTCACTAAACGTTTATCTAATGCACAAACACCGGCACACACTATTTTAAAAATGATGAGTTAATCTCTGGTGCTAAGTGGAGGATTTCATTATCTTTATTTGCAATATTTGTAGGAATCTGACTTTACCTTTTTTCCAATAAAAATGATATCAAGCAAGCAATTTAAAAACGCGACTTATATATTCAACTTAACATCATAAAGGATGAGGAGCTACAGTGTTAGGAGTAAGGCCTTTAGGGTCTACTACATACGCTCAAATTTTGTGTGCACCCACTTTCATGCACACAAACACACAGGTGTACCCATGTGACATCATGCAGAAGGGTCAGTTGCCACCATTTTGCTGAGTAGAATCAGTCTCTCAGCAAGAAGCAGCCGGTTCCAGTTCTCACAATATAACTGCAAACCTTTGCATAAGGCACACACTCTGCAGCTAGATCTTCAATTCACAGCCTACTTCACCAGTGATGACTGTGCAGTCATATTTAGTGACAAGTCATATCCTGGCTCTAAAAATGTCAGTGCTTGGTCACTGTGAATCCATTAATGAGTTCACATACAGACAGCAAATATGTAGTTCTGTGACCTCTTTGCATCACAATGATAAGCCCATGTGACATTTTACAGACAATGAATAATCAAAATGGGGAATTGTGAACTGGAGACATGGCTGGGCAGTTAAGAGCACACGCTGCTCGTGGAAAGGGCCTGAGGTAGGTTCCCAGCACTCATGTCAGGTGGCTCACAACCACTTGTAACTCCAGCTCCAGGGATGCAACGGCCTCTTCTGGCCTCTTTGGACATCTGCACTTGTGTGCACACAATCTTGCCCCATACATATGATTAATAAAAATAAATCTTTTTTTTCAAAGGCAGACTTGGCCAACAAAGAAACCAAATGTGGTGTCACTGGAATTGAGTCTGGAATGCAGTGAAAAGTGAGTTGTAGAAGAAACGGGTGGCTATAAAAGGTGGCAGTTTAAGAAACTGGCAATGTACAGCTAGAGGGATTTGGTGAAGGTGAACATACCCACATATGTGGCCTTGGTAAGAAGAACAAAGTGCCACTGGCAGAAAAAGCTTCACATTAGGAGAAATCTAACATACTTTGCAACATAGAAAATATGAAGGCTAAAATGTCAGCACCCGATTCAAACTTAGGAGTGTGACAAGTAACAGAGACACAGCAAAGACAGTTCGTCCCCACAGTAACTCACCTGAGAACAAGAAGGCCAGCATTCTTCCAAGGGCTCTTTTGGTAGGGGGTGGACTGAGGGCGGAACTTAGGACCGCGTGCATGCTAGACTAATTCTCTCCCCTCAACCTTAAATTTAAAAACTTTGATAACAGTCTTGAAACGTTGGCTGTGCACTTATTCTGTACCTCAGGCAGGCTTTGAACTTGTGATCCTCCTGCATCAGTTTCCTAAACATCTAGGATTATAGGCCTGAGCCACAGATTTCAAATTATTCTTGATTATGCTTTTTCTCCCATGGCTTTTCTTTGTTCTTGCCTGTGGTGGGGAATGAACTCAAGGCACCATACCATCGAGCTACACCCCCAATCTGTTACACTCACAACTTTATTGAGATTGACAAGTCATGTACTTCACCCATTGGCTTTTCGTGTTTTCACAGCTGATTGTTTTTTAACAAAGAATTAAAACTTTCACAGCTGAGCCGGGCGTTGGTGGCGCACACCTTTAATCCCAGCACTCGGGAGGCCAGCCTGGTCAGCGAGTTCCATGACAGCCTCCAAAACGATACAGAGAAACCCGGTCTCGAAAAACCAAAAACCAAAAACAAAGACAAAACCAAAAACCAAAAACCAAAAAAAAACTTTCACAGCTGATTATTTTTTAACAAAGAAATAAAACTTTCGCTCTCAGTATATTAAATAGTACTGCACTAAATGTTTTAAGTCTTTCATTTCTATTGTAATAGTTTTTTTGAGACAAAATTTCTCTGTATCGTTTTGGAGGCTGTCTTGGAACTCACTCTGTAGACCAGGCTGGCCTCGAACTCACAGAGATCTGCCTGCCTCTGCCTCCCGAGTGCCAAGCAATTTTCTCTACTGATTGCTAAGTTTGCTTTGCATGGGGCTGGGGACATAGTTTAGGGGTAGAGTGCTTGCCTATTATGCAAGGGACCTGGGTTCAAGCTCCCGTGCTGAAAAAAAAATCAGATCCACACACATTGGAGAGCAAACAGCAAAGAGTGGTAGCATGAACCTGTAGTCCCTGCTCTTGGAATGTGGTGACTGGAAGATTAGGAGTTCAAGGTCATCCTCTGGCTATATCGCAAATTTGAGGTCAACCTGGGCTACATGAGATCTTGTGTCAAAACAATAAAAAAGTGAAATGTTTTTGTATAGTTTCAGCTCATATCACCCATTCTTTTAGTCCCATGCTACCTGCATAGTGAGCATGTCTGTTACTTTATGTCCCAGGAGTACAGTGGTACAATTAGTAAACGTCTCGAGTCTGTCACTGATCTCCTTTGCCACTCATTCACTGTGTGACGTTGGGTGAGTTTTTGGACCTCGTTAAAGCTTCATTTTTCTCATCCATAAAGAGAGTTGCAGGATTTACAAACTTGAAGATGAAAGGAAATGATATACCAGGCAATATCTTTAAAAATGCCATTCACTCACACAAATAATCTTATCTCTCTTTGCCAGTGTAAATATTTGGGGCCTTCTCTCTGTGACCCCAATCCTTGACATATTCACAACCTGTGAATGGTTGGAATCCCTAGCTTCGTTTATTTTCTGATCTAATTCCTGAGTCTCATAGCTTAAGTCTCTAAAAGAAAGAAAGCACAACCAAGAGTCTCCAAGGCCCTGAGTTAACTTCATATGTCAAAGTAAGGCACATACATTATTAGGAAGAAGCTAAGGTCACACACATTATTATTATTATTATATTAGGAATCAGAATATTGGTAATTTTTCATCAATGTTTGCCTCTTTGGATTTGTTAGTAGAAAAATGGGAAGGACTGTTACAAAAGTATTATTATTTTTTTTTCAGGTGTGCCTCGTAAGTGCTCCAATTCAGCACTGCTCTATCCAGCTATGCAAACCAGAAATCCAGGAGTCATGCCAGACATATCTTCAGTTTCTCTCCCTGTCTGTCACCAAGGCCCACTGCCTTTACTCTCTCTCCTGCATCTGAAGACATACATCCTTAAACTGAGCAATCACCATTTCCCCAGGAATATCAAGAGCCTTTGAACAGAACTCTTGTTGCTTTCTCATTCTTTCCGTATCTTGCAACTAGAGGCAACTCTTCACTCATTAGTTTCAAAAAGTTACACATTTTGTTTAGTGTGTGTGTGTGTGTGTGTGTGTGTGCGTGTGTGTGTGTGCACGTGCGCATGTGGGGAGCACTTACGTGACGTAAGAGGTTAGAAGGCATCTTAGTGGAGTTGGTTCTTTCCTTCTACCATGTAGGCCCTGGGGATCAAACTCACGATTTTGGGTTTGCTGTCTAGTATTTTTACCTGCTAGGCCATCTCGGCAGTCTCAAATTGGTAACTTTTTTCTTTAAAAAAATTTAATTTTATTTTTCTCCCTCCTGAGTATGTATGTATGCATGCTTGAGTATGTGTATGCTGTACCCACAGAGGCCAGAAGAGGGCACTGGCTCCTCTGAGGCTGGTGTTACAAGTAGTTGTGAACTGTGTGATGTGGGTGCTGGGAACTGAACTCAGGTCCTCTGAAAACACAGCAAGCACTCTTAACCTTTGAGCCATCTCTCTAACCCCACCCATGCTATTTTGTTAAATTTTTATTTTATATGCATTGGCTTGAGGGTGTCAGATCCCCTGGAACCGGAGTTATAGACAGGGAATTGAACTCTTAACCACTGAACCATATCTCTAGCCCCCAAAATGGTCAATTTTATGTTGTGTGTGTTTTATCACAACTAAAAAAAATAATGAGCTGGGCGGTGGTGGCACTCACCTTTAATCCCAGCCCTCGGGAGGCAGGTGCAGGAGGATCTCTGTGGGTTTGAGGCCAGCCTGGCCTACAGAGCGAGTTCCAAGACTGCCAAGGCTACACAGAGAAATCCTGTTTCAAAAAAATAAAAATTATGATTCTTTCTTGTTAGAGAATAGGGTCAGGCAAGCCTTTTTAATATCTATATCCAAATTCCTTACTTGCATGTAATCTTGCACTGTGACAACATCCATGCGATCAGTTACTTTGAATTTCTGGAAAAGATGCTCATCTTCCATAATTTGTTGACAAAATTTCCTTTCCCCCATTATCTTGTAAGCATCAGCCACTGCCTATAAAGAAAGTCGATTTTCAAAATAATATATTTTTAATCATTGGCACACATTTTATATATATTCTGAGAAATACTGTTCCTGTCTTTTATGAACTTGCTAGTAATAGAAAGGCTACATTTACAAAAAGGAAATTTGGGGGAGGAGAGGAAGGAGTTAAATAAGGTATTACTCTGTAGTACAGGTTGGTCAAGCACTTACTAGTAAGCCTCCTGCCTCAGCTCCCTCAATGCTGGCACTACAGGCATGAGCCACCATGCCCAGCTATATAGGAATTTGTTTTGAGACACAGTCTCATGTAACCCTGGGCTGGCCTTAAACTTGCTGTGTAGTCAAGGATGAACTTAAACTTCTTGCTTCCACCTCTCAAGCGCTAGGATTTTAGGGGTGGATCTCCATGTCTGGTTTATATAGGGATTTTAAAACCATTTGAAATTTGTTGCTAGAGACACTGATACGCAGTTTAAAAATAAAACTACAGGTATAGTTGAGTCTACAGTCCTCAAGGGATCATAGTTTTTAATTTTTAAAAAGATTTTAATTTGGGCCTGGAAACATGGTTCAGCACATAAGAGCACTCACATGACAGCTACCAACCATGATTACTCCCATTCCAGGGGAATCTGATGCCCTCTTCTGGCCTCTGTGGGCACTGCACACATGTGATAGGCAAACGATACACCAGCACAACGTAAAAATGTGTTTTTCAATCTTAAAAAAGATTTTATTTTTCTATTTGATTATGTGTATATGCATGTGAATTTGTTCATGTGAGCACAGTGCCCAAGGAGGCAGGAAGAGGGCACCAGATCTCCTGGAGTTGCTGTTAGTCAGCTGTAAGCTGCCTCATGTGCACACTGGGAACTGCACTGCTGTCCTCCACAGGAACAGTCTGTACTCTTAACCACTGAGCTTTCTCTCCAGCCTGGGCCACAGTTTTAAAGATATGTTTTTCTTAAAAAAAAAAAAAACATTCTTTTCAGCCAGGCGTTGGTGGCACATGCCTTTAGTCCCAGCTCTTAGGAGGCAGAGGCAGGCGGATCTCTGTGAGTTCGAGGTCACTCGGTCTACAGAGAGAGTGAGCGAGTTTCAGGACAGCTAAGGCTACACAGAGAAACCCTGTCTCCAAAACAAATCGTTCTTTTCATTTAAATGAAAACAAAAGAACAACCATAATCTCGCTTGTGCTATCAGTGAAAAGAAATTCACCTGATGATTAAACAGGGTGTCTTGGGAACTAGAATAAAATGTGTTGTTGGAACTGACACTCTTTTCTGTTAGTTAACTCATAACTTCCAAACAGAAATGTAGATGTGTCGGGTTGCTTACACCTCCCTTTCCTTTAGATTTCATTCTCAGTAGCTGCAGAGAAGCAAATTAAGGATTTTTCCTTTTTTTCTAAAATGTCAACAGTTTACATTCAAGGATTTTTCCTTCTTTCTAAAATGTCCGGTTTACATTCAAGGACAATGTCTGAGAGACCAGTGAGAGAGAAATCACAGAAAACAGAGGGTGAAGATTCTTTGTCTTGGCTCTAGGTATATCACACTCTCCCACGTATATCTATCCTGCTAATAGCTACACATACTGGGGGAGACTTAAATACGCCCATGCTGCCGTAAGCATGTGCTGAATCATCCAACCCCATTTATAATATGGATTGGTGCTTCCGGCCACAAAGGGTCTGCTTATGTGGAGGGAGGCTGGCAGAGAAGCAAATCCAAATCTCTCTCTATTCCAGATCAATTGTTTCCTCGGGACCCCAGAACGTGCTATTGGGAGAGTATGGAGAGAACTCTGTCAGAGCAAAAGCCCGGAGCTTCTTTTCTTTTCATGTAAAGCACAACACAATATCTTGCCTTCACATATTTTCCTCTCTAATTCTCATTTTTATTATCCAGAACAGTCCTTTTTTATTTTGTTTTGAATTCCAAAGCTTTGATGGTGCATATAGGAAAATGGAATGGGAAGAAAATAGAGACTGGGTTTCTCTTTGTAGCTCTGGCTGCCTGGAACTCACTCTGTAGACCAGGCTGGAGATCCGCCCGCCTCTGCCTCCTGAGTGTGGGATTAAAGGAGTGTGCCACCATGCCCGGCTTCACATTCTAGCTTTTCCCACAGACAAAGAGAGAATGGCGTTTGTCAAACAGTGAATGGAAGGAGGGCCACGTGAGAGAAGAACAGTGTTACCTTAGCTCAGGGGTGTTTAAGAATATGAACTTTTTTCTCTTTTTTATTTTTAAATTTAAATTTAAATTAGAAACGAGGTTGCTTCACATGTCAATTCCAGGTCCCTCTGCGTTTCCCTCCCCTCTTCCCGTGCCCTCCCCCCAACCCCCCAATACTCCCTCATTTCCCCAGGGAGGGTGAGGCCCTCCTTGGGGGATCTCCAGAGTCTGTCATTTCATCCAGGGCAGGGCCTAGACCCTCCCCCAAGAGTCCAGGGTGAGAGTGCATCTCTCAAGAATATGAACTTTTTTCTCAGTTCTTTCGCTGTCCAGTTCTGAGGTTTTAACTGAGTTACTTGGTCTGTCATTTATTTATTTAATATGTGATTTTATTTTTTCATTATTAGGCCTTATGGCATTTCTTTTTTTTTCTGAGACAGGGTTTCTCTGTGTTGCTTTGGAGCCTGTCCTGGAACTTGCTCTGTAGACCAGGCTGGCTTCGAACTCACAGAGATCCACTTGCCTCTGCCTCCCGAGTGCTGGGATTCTGGGATTAAAGGCGTTTACCACCAACGACCAGCGGCACTTTTATTCATATATATTTTCCTCCTATTCCCGATGGTCCCTTTCCTCTTTCCCATTAGTCTCCTTTCTACTTTCAGATTCTTCTTCTTCTTCTTTTTTTTTTTCCCTTTGGCTTTTTAGACAGGGTTTCTCTGTATTGTTTTGGAGGCTGTCCTGGAACTCGCTCTATAGACCATGCTGGTCTCAAACTTTTTTTAAAGAGTGAGGATAGACTAACAAAACATACAGACTAGTTTTTATGGGAATGAAATGAAATAATGCACATTTGAGATTACAGTTAATTGATCAAGTTGGGCCAGAGGAGCTAAGTAGACAGCTCAATTGGTAAAGTGCTTGCTGCCTAAGTGTGAGGGCTGGAGTTCTGATCACCAGTACGCATGTAAGATATATCACCGTGTCCATTGTGGCATACATCTGAAATCCCAGCGCTGTGGGACAGGGACAGGCAGATCCCTGAATCTTACTGGCTAGCCAGCTTAGTTAAATAAATTGGTGAGCCCCACGTTCAATGAGAGACTCTGTCTCAAAACTCAAGATGGAAAATGAATGGGGAAGACACTTGACGCTAACCTCCAGAGTTTGTACTCCCTCATCCCTAAGTGATCAAGCAGGACTGACAAACATAGCAAGAGTGCTTGCCTAGCATGCATGAAGCCACGAGTTTGATCCTCAGAATTTACTGTCCAAATCAGATATGGTGGGGTTCACCTGTATTAATAAGTATAGGAGTATTAATAAGGAGAATCAGATGTTCAAGTTTAGCCGCATGAGTCTGAGGCCAGCCTAATATATTTGAATCTTGACACAGTGTGGGGAAAAAGAGCAGAAGGGTGAGAGAGAGAGGGAGGGAGACAAAAAGAGAGAATAATCAATAACAAGGGTGGCTATTAATGTTTTTCTTATGTGAATAAAGTTTAAAAAGACGGATTTTTCAACATAAAATAACAGTTGCTAGATGCCAACAGTTAAGGCTCTTTAGCCTGTAAGTGTAGTAACTGGTTTATTTTTTAAATATTTACTTATTATATATGCGTGTATGCCTGCACGCCAGAAGAGGGCACCAGATCTCATTACAGGTGGTTGTGAGCCACCATGCGGTTGCTGGGAATTGAACTCAGGACCTCTCAAAGAGCAGTCTTAACCTCTGAGCCATTTCTCCAGCCCCATCATTTTTATTCTTTAATTGTGTGTGCGCACATGTGCACATGCATGCGGGTGCCCAAGGAGGCCAGCAAGGACACAAAATCCTCTGAAGCTGGAGTTACAGGTAGTTGCGAGCCACCTGATATGGGTGCTGAGAACTAAACTTGGCCTCTCTGCAAGGGTAGTGCACACTTTTGATTGCTCAGCCATCTCTCCAGCTTCAAGGCTCTGCATTTTAAAATGGTCCAGTGGATGCCAGTGTGTAAGGCTGCACATGCTTTGGGTAGCAAGGTTGTAGAAAATTCTCTGGTGGACCAACAATAATGAAAACCTCTTGTAAATTACCAATGCTGAGAAAATAGATTGTCAAAGTGGAAAATGAAACAAGAGTGCGCGCGCGAACACACACACACACACACACACACACACACACACACACACACCCCATTGTTCTATTGTTCTACAGCAGAGGTTCTCAGCCTGCAGGTTGCGGTCCTTTAGGGGCTGGTCAGAGGACCCTTTTACGGGGGTCTCCTAAGACCACTGGAAAGCATATTTACATTACATATGTATTTGTATACGATTCATAGCAGTAGCAAAATTGCAGTTATAAAGTAGAAATGAAAATAATTTTATGGTTGGTGGCCACCACAGCATGCAGAACTGAATTTAAAGGCTTGCAGCATTAGGAAGGTTGAGAACCACTGTTCTAGAACCATTTGACCTGCATTGGCACCTTTGCAGAAAATACTGATAATCTCTAGATAGATGTATTTCTATTTTTCCCCAGTGGATTCTATGTCTGTCTTAATTACAGCAGCTTTCTAAGTCTTGAAGTTGGGTAGTGTAAATTGTCCAACTTCCTTTTTCCCCCACTTTCACTTGTTTTGCTTTTTGTTTTTGTGAATACATGAGAGATACAGCTGGAAAATGACAAGTAAATGCAAAAAGAAACGGAAATATGGTGGGGAATGATGGAGCAAAAATATGTTAAATTTCTCTTCTTTTTTTTTTCAAGACAGGGTTTCTCTGAATTGTTTTGGAGGCTAGCCTTGAACTCACAGAGATCCACCTGCCTCTTGCTCCCTAGTGCTGGGATCAAAGGCGTGCACCACCAATGCCCGGCAATAAATTTCTGGAGAGATGTCTCAGCAGTTATGAGCACTGGATGCTCCTCCAGGGGACCTGGGCTCAATTCCCAGCACCCACCTGGAGGCTCCTGACAGTCTGGAACTGCAGTCCCAGGGCAATCCTTCTCTGGTCTTCTCAGGCACCAGGCATACATGTGGTACACAGAAGTGTAGGTAAAACATTAATACATACAAAAATAATAAAAATATTTTCAGAGATAAGTGAATAGACGTCTGAACAAACTAAAACTGGCCCACTTCTACAAAGAAATAAATGAAGGGCTGGACATCTGTTAAGAGCCCTGATGTCTCTTACAGAGTATATGGGTTTGATTCCCAGCCCTCACATAGGGGCTCACAACCATTCCTAAATCCATTTTCCAAGGGATCTTACATCTTTCTCTGTCACCAAACTCGAATGTGGCACACAGACATGCATGCAGGAAAACACCCATACGCATAATAAAATAAAAGAATAAATGAGCTGGACGGTGGTGGCACATGCCTTTAATCCCAGCACTTGGGAGGCAGAGGCAAGAGGATCTCTGTAAGTTCGAGGACAGCCTGATCTACAAAGAGAGTTCCAGGATAGCTAGGGTTGTTACCCAGAGAAAGCCTGTCTTAAAACAAACAAACAAACAAACAAACAAACAAACAAAAGAATAAATGAATTTAGAGCTAGGGATGTAGCTCATTTGGTATGGTGCTTACCTAGTATACATGAAGCCCAGGGTTTGATCCTCACCACTGCACACCTGTGTATCTGCACACCTGTAATCCTAGCACTCTGGAGGTGGAGGCATTGCAATCAGAAGTTCAAGATGTAAGAGTCAGGTGTGGTGATGCATGTCTTTGATCCCAGAGCTCTGGAGGAAGAAGCAGGCAGATCCCTAGGAGCTCAAGGCTAGCATGGTATATGAAGTGAGTTCCAGGATAGCCAGAGCTACATAGAGAGACCCTGTCTCAAACAAACAAACAAACAAACAAACAAAGAAACCAACAAACACCAAAAAGAAGTAAGTAAGCAGAATAGTTGGATCAATTGGCTAACAAAACTTTTATTCAAAGAGCAAAAATGTAAACTTATAATGGGAAAAATCCCACCGTTGTATGTTTTCTTTCAACCATGACTTCACATTTTAGCCAAGTTTGTTTTGAAAAGAAAGAAGGGACAAGGGCAGACCAAACTGTTCTCTTCAAGTTGGGTATGTTCTGTTCATTAAAAGACCATTACGGTGTTCACTGAAAAAGTCAGGCTGAATAGTATGATAACATCTTAATAACAAGAACAAACAGAATTATATAACCTTGTTTCATAGCGAAATGAAGGCAACATAACAAACTATTAGGGCTGATTACTCCAGGAGAGTGACAGCTGCAGCATATTAGGGACAGGCATCAAAGTGCATTTTTCTTTTTCTTTGGCATACTTTGTAGATCTATATTAACATGGGAACTTATTTTTTAAACATATTTACAAGACATTAAAGAACATGTGTAAGTGCAAGAAAACTTTCTTCACGACGGCTTTCACTGGCGCATTTGATAGTCAAGATCTCCCTTCTGAGGTCAGGATGAAAATGGAGGTCGTAGAGCTCATCCAGACCTCCCACTAACATAGACACTTGGATGCCAAACAGGCTAATTCTGCTTTTCTACTTACATGTGAATAAACGCATGTACACACCAACTCAAATTCATACAGACTTCATGTAAGACCCCAGTCAATTCCATTTGAAGTACAGTTTATGTGATCTGAAGGGTGTCTGTGTCTGCTGCTCAGTTGACGGTATTCATACGATTCACTGTCCCAAAGACCCCAAACAACTGGCTTAGTCAGCTTCCTGCGCTCTCTTCTCCATCCACCAGTCCTCTACAAGTCCCTCTGAGGCTGGAGACAGAGTCATTTTTCATGTGGTTTTCTCATTTCCTCTCCTCAGAGGAGGAGGGTGGACGGGACCTTATGATAATGCTCAGTGGGACCCTGGGGTATGCTCCCTCAGACTGCTTCAGGGAGGGAGAGATCTTGTCAGAAGGTATTTTCTTTTCAGGAGGATGGGATGAGGAAGCTTCCAAGATCCTGGAGCTCCAGCAGTCATTCCTCAATCTAGTGAAGACCATTCGGAGGGGTTGGACTGGAACATGACTGGACAATGGATGACAGGACTCGGTGAAAGGCTGTGTGAAATTCAGGAGAGCTCTGTTGCAAGGAGGCTGTTGTTCAACACTGGTCGCTTGAGGTAACCCTTTTGATTCAACTTGACTGGTACTAGAATGTGGCACAACACGGAAAGCCTCCAACATAGGCTTCTCAGTGATCTTCTGTGGTCTCTGGTAGGTGCTTACGCGCCGCTTCTTTTGAGGATTTTGGCTCATCTGGCTGACAAGGGGGAGACTTCTTTCATGTGTTACTTTGAGGCTGAGTTTGGCATGCTGGCTATTTGGATGTGCTGCGGGGTACAGGAGGGAGTGTTTATCTTCATCAGAATGCTGGACTGGTGACTGGGTGTTTAATACATGGCCCATCTCCTGCACTTTGAAGGCAGCCTGGGGAACCTGATAGAAGCAATGCTCTGTGCTTCGGCCTGTTGCATTCCCACTGAAAGTCGGGTGCTCAGCACTGTGCCCAACTGCTGGTTTTGGCATGTTATTTTCCTCAAGATTAATGGTAATAGTAGGCTTTTCTGTGGAAGGTGCTGTATGGTACACATGTTCCCCATCAGATTTCTTGAGTGATGGCAGACTAGTTTGGGTGCACTTCAGGGATACTTTCTTGTTAATGTGGATGAACGATGGTCTGCTCGGACGCCTCAGATAGTCACCAGAATGTGTGGTATCCTTCCAACTCCGAGGCTTCTTCTCTGGGGGTTTCTTGGGAAATTTGAGCACGAGAGCCTTCCTCTGCTCCTCTAATCTCTCTCTCTCTCTTTTCTCTTTCTCTGTTTCACACACTGGCCCAGTGCTATGCAGATTCTTTGGCTTTTGTGGGTCCTGGTTCTCCTTTCCCTTCTTTATGCCCAAGGGCAGTGGTACCTTGGCACCATCCCAGGACTTGATAGGGCACTTCTTGCTTCTTATGGTGTGTCCAAAGGCCCCACAGTTTTTGCATTTCACCCTGGGATTCTCTTCTCGTAGGGGAACTCTCTGCTCCTTTGGTTTTCTCCAATTCTGTAAATTCTGGAATTCAAAGTCTTTGCTAGGGTTTACCACTTGACTCATCATTTTGGAGTCTTGACAGTCTTCCTCAGGTGTTGACTTGGGATTTCCTGAAAGCCAGCTGTCTTTCTCCTGTCTGTTAGCAGGTTCTCAGACAGGTGGGTGATGGAGACACAGCAAGGAGTGTGATGAAGCTTTCAGGATGCTGGAGGAAAGGAAAGTCACATTTTCTTTTTATATCACTGGGCTATTTCCTCCCTCCAACATTTACTTCATAAATTAAAAAAATGAGGTTATTATACAATGTTTCAGTGAGTTTTAATGAATAAATACTGTTTTCTCCTGACTTCTTCCTTCTGAGATTCTCATTTTCTTAAGCCTAAGAATAGGGACAATGGAACAGGCCCAGGAGAATTTCAGTTCCTGGAAAAGTTCGATTATACAATCTTAGAACAGACACTATAGATGGTGTTTTATAGAAACAACCTCAGCTTATTCTGAAGATGAACATGACATGAATTTATCCCTCAACAGTAAGATGAAAATATATTTCTCATGCCGGTGGCACATGCCTTTAATCCTAGCACTCGGGAGGCAGAGACAGGAAGATCTCTGTGAGTTCCAGGTCAGCCTGGTCTACACAGTGAGTTCCAGGACATCCAGGGCTACATAGAGAAACCCTGGTTCAATAAACCAATATTTATTACTCACTCTGTAGACCAGGCTAGCCTCTAACTCAGAGATCATTCCTGCCCCTGCCTTTCCAGAATTTAAAATTTCAACGCAAAGAAAACTGAGATATTTTTTTCATAACCTCACATAAGTAAAACATTTCAAATTTGTTTTAGTGGAGACATTTTGAAACATGGTGCTTAGGAAAAAGCTTGGTGGACTGCTAATGGCCTGTATAATTGGAATGTAATTTAGATATCACATAGATATTAAGAAGAAATATTAATATAAATTAATATAAAACATCCATCATGAAACATCACCTTACTTGACGGCTTTAGTAAATCTTTCCCACTGAAATACTTGTAACCATGGCCATCATTTTTAAAAAAAATTTTGAACACGATAAAAGGTGGAAACGTTTCACCACCAAATCTGAAATAAAGATAAAAAATTAGTGATGTGACAATGATTGTGGGGCTCTATTGCTTCTTTCTTATGTACTTAGCAGAGCTAATACAGTTTTTCAAATATAGGGCATATAAAGAACATATAAAGATCTAGCAAAGAAACAGATCCAAAGGTGAAAGTCACAACTATTCTCATACTTGTGGACACAATGGGGGTGAGACCTCATGTCAAATTATAGCCAGAGTCATGCCTTAGCCTATGTAAAACCATAACAAATGTAAACAGGGAAATGCTTACCTTTTAATTTTGTCCTGAGAAATAATAAGTATAAAAGAAAGCATTTCTATTATTTCTCCTATGAGATAAATCAGCTGGTTACATTACCTGAACCTGACTTTACACTTCATGCTCGGATCTTTAACAAGTGCAGCTTCTATGGGGCTTACTTTCTTCAGCAGTTCATGCGCCACACAATATTCCTGAAATAAATGATGTCACTGTAAACAGAAAGTGGTATCCTGACACACGTCATTGACTGATTACAAGAATGGAAGCAGCCTGATGGTGGTGGTCCACACTTTTAAACCCAGCACTCAAGAGGCAGAGGCAGGCAGGTCTCTGTGAGTTCGAGGACAGCCTGATCTGTAGAGTGAGTTCTAGAACAGCCAGGACTGTTGCACAGAGAAACCCTGTCTCAGAAAACAAAACCAAACAAAGCAAAACAAAACAACAACAAAAAGAATTGAGGCATAGTGAAATGATCCGAACCCTGGGCTCAGGGTTCTAAAGAGGTGCATTTCTATTCTTTATTTTTTTTTTTTTTGGTTTTACGAGACAGGGTTTCTCTGTATTGTTTTGGAGGCTGGGATTTCTATTTTTGACTCCTCCATTTATCATCTATGTAGCCCTTCATCTGCTATTTCAACTCAGGGGTCTCCAAGTTTGAATATCCATGTCTTTTGATATCACAGGCATTTTGCAATCCCTATGATAATACTTTCACTTAATTTATTGCATTTATCTATAGATTTATCTGTGTCTCCAACTAGATTAGAAGCATCATGAAGGTAGAGACAGCATCTTTCTTCTTTATTATATTCCTAGCATCTGATACTGTACCTGAAACACACAAGAAACTTAAAAGTGTTTATTGTTGAAAGAATCATGGTAATATGGGGATGATAATGGTATTAAGTGACTAGTTTTTAGACACCTTTTATTTACCATGTAACATGGTGGTATCATATATCTATATCTATCCTCATTTAATGCTAACAACAAGACAAGCAGAGTATTATTGCTCTCATTTTTATAAATGAGAAAGCTAGGTCTCAAACGTTAATTTGATGTATGAGGCCACTGGCAGTGGGTCCAAGACCTAAATCTAATGCACAAACTGACTTAGTGAAGCCCTTTCCATATGGAGAGACGCCTTGCCCATCCTAGAAAGAGGGGTGTGGGGGTGGGGAGGTGCCTTGGTCCTGCCTCAACAAGATGAAGGGACAGACTTAGGGGAGGCCTTACCCTCTCCGAGGAGCAGATGGGAAGAGGGGGAAGTGGGAGAGCGGGAAGAGAGGAGTGAGGGGGAACTGGGATTGGAATGTAAAAAGTAAATTAATAAAGACTCAAAGAAAAAAAAAACTCTTAGATCTGTTCGACTCTAAAATTTCCATTCTTTTCTTTAAAAGACCCTACTCAATTCTATGCCTGTGATGATTCCATAAAATGTACAATAATAGGATTTTTAACAAGTAAAGCATTTTATTCTTTTTTGGGGGGGGTGGTAGGGTTTCTCTGTGTAGCCCTGGTCATTCGGGAATTCACTCTGTAGACCAGGCTGGCCTCGAACTCAGAGATTTCCCTGCTTCTGCCTCTAGAGGCGCTGGGATTAAAGGCTTGAGCCACCACTATCGGGTTACAATAAAGCATTATTAATTTGAAGCATTGGAACAAAGACGTAAAAATAACTGATTAACTTCACCTATTTACGGAGAGCCTAAAATTATGAGGAAAGCAGTAACATGATAATTAAAAATGAGTTTTGTATGATAATACAAATACGTCTGTGAGTCAGATAGTGAAGTATACATATTTCTCAGACTTTTATTTTTCATGGCTGATAAAATTCCTCTAGTGAGACTATTCTGATAGCAGACTACTTTAAACAAGGCTTAACACTCTGCTGGAGTTTCCAGGGTTTTTTTTTTTTCCTTCCTGGAAAGAGGATGGGCATCTGTTTGTTGTCTTTTATTCAAATAGGATTTTATTCCTCATATTGTTCTGAATTGTCCTTTTCACTATCAAGCTATCTTGGTTATCTTTCTATTGTAGAATCGTGTTAATATTGCAAGCTTTACCCATGATGAGAGAGATGGTTACTTGCATCTATGAACCAATGCTGCAATGAAATTGCACTGTAGAACGCACTCTTAGGAGTGAAACTGCTGGAGATGGCTCGGTGGTTAACAGCATGCACTGTTTTGGCAGAGGACCTCAGTTTGGTTCCTAGCACTCACATGGTGGCTCACAATTGCTTGTAACCTCAGTTCCAGGGGATCTTATGCTCTATTCTAATCTCTGCAGGCTCCTGCACGCACATGGTGCACATAAACTCACCCAGGCACACATACATACACATGTATAATAAATAAATAAATCCTCTCTAAAAAGAAGTGAAACTGCTGGGTAAAAGAAAAGTGCACTTTTAAATTCAGGGATTTTTTTTCTGTAGTGTTGAGGATCAAACCCAGAGCCTCAAACATGTTGAATACACATTCTACAACTGCACTACACCCCTAGTTCTTCTTTTCTGAGACAGGGTTTCTCTGTAGCTCTGGCTATCCTGGAACTTGCCCTGTAGACCAGGCTGCCCTCAAAATGGAGACCTGCTTGCCTCTGTCTCCAAAAAGAGTGCAGGGATTAAAGGTGAGTGCTACCACCAGCTGGCTTGCACCCCCATTTCTTAATTCAGAGATTTTTATTGTTAGAAGATCACTGTCTCTTATCTTCAAATAAGGACACAAATTTAAACTGAAACACAACTGCATTAATTTCAGAAAAATAGTAATACTCATTCATATTAAGACTAAAGCCAGAGGGCTGGAGAGATGGCTCAGAAGTTAAGCATACTCACTGACCTTCCAGAGGACCCAGGTTTGATTCCTAATGCCCACATTACAATTATCTTTCACTCCCCAGTCTCAGGGGATCCAATAAATAACCTCTCTGGTCTTCACAGGCATTTCATGCCACAGTGCACAGATACACTTGAAGGCATCCATACACATAAATAAAATAAAAATAAATAAATCTAAAAAACACAACAACCAGAAATATCTATTAAGATTAACAAAAGAAGCAATTTTAGAGTTTGACATTATTGTATCTAAGTTAAAGAGACAAAGAGGGTTATTTGCTCTATCTTTAATTAACAGGTCTTTTAACTAGTTAAGGAATAACATTTGTCAGAGAAAAAAATACATACCGCTGCACAAACAGTGTGTTTTAGGAGTTTAAACAATGTTTTGTCCACATAAGTGAACCAGGCTTTCTGTATTTTTGTTGCTGAAATCTCTCTATTAATTATAAGAGGAAAAAGATGTTAGCGATTTATGAAATACTTTTCATTTTCCTGAAATCTTAGAAAACTCTCAATTTATGCATCCTCTTATATTTCCCCATTACTAAGACTGACCTAATGATGGAGTAATTGGAACTAGTCTTTGTAGTCTCTAATCAGAACGAGGATATGGAATAATTAATATTTACCCTGAGATAAAAAATTCACCTAAAACTTTATCAAGTCACATACATAAAGCCAGACATGGTGGCACATTCTTTTTTTTTTTTTTTTTTTTTTTTTTTGGTTTTTCGAGACAGGGTTTCTCTGTGGCTTTGGAGGCTGTCCTGGAACTAGCTCTTGTAGACCAGGCTGGCCTCGAACTCACAGAGATCTGCCTGCCTCTGCCTCCCAAGTGCTGGGATTAAAGGCGTGTGCCACCAATGCCTGGCTATGGTGGCACATTCTTATAATCCCTGCACTTAGCAGGTGGAGGCAGGAGGATCAAGAGTTCAAGACCAGCTTTGACTACACAGTAAATTTGGGTTCAGGGTACAGTCCCGGTGTGTGCAAGTATCTCTCTCTCTCTCTCTCTCTCTCTCTCTCTCTCTCTCTCTCTCTCTCTCTCTCTCTCTCTCTCTCTCTCTCTCTCTCCCTCCCTCCTCTCTCTCTCTCTCTCCCCCTTCCTCCTTCCCTCCCTCTGAGACAGTGTCTCCTATAACTCAGACTGGCTTTGACTAGTTGCATAAACTAGTTGCACCTTAAACTTGTGATCCTCCTGCCTCTAACTTCTTAGTGCTGGGATTCTAACATGCCTGGTTTTATGTGGTGATAGAAACTGAACCAAGGACTTGTACACTAGGTAAGAAGTCTGTTAAGTACATCCTTAGAGATCCAGAGACTTAATTCCTAATACTGCTGGGGGTTGGGGTGGGAGAGGAAAGAAAGAGAGAGGGAAGGGAGGAAGAGGGATGATAGAAGGGAAAGGGATGGGAAAGAGACAATATGGATAAATAGAAGATGTGAGAAGGCAAATTGGCCTTTTAAAAACATTCATGGGGCTGGCGAAATAGCTTAGTGGGTAAAGAATGAGAACCTGAGTTCGATAGCCTGAAACCATATAAAATGATAAATGTGTTTGCAAATGCTTGTAATCCAGCACTGGGGAAGTGGAGGCAGGAAGATCCCTGAGGTTCCTTGGCAAGTTAGCCTAGCCTTGTTAGTGAGTTCCAGTCCAGGGAGAGATGCTCTCTCAAAAAATAAGGTGAAGGGGCTTGGGACATGGCTCAGCTGTTAAAGAGTGCTGGACAAGCATGAACACCCATGTAAAAGTTGGGAGCTGTGGTGCACCTTCCATAATAACAGCACTGGGGGGTGCAGACAGGATTCCAGTTGATTTTTGGCTAGTCTACTTGAAATTGTACACTCCAGATTCAGTTCGAGACTGTGTCTCAAAAAATAAAGTGGAGAGAGATAGAGGAAGACACTCAGTGTGTACCTCTGCTTCCATCTGGGTGTGTATAGACCAGGTATGTGGGCACATGCATCTACCCCACCCCAACCAGCTAGAGAGCTACTTAGGAAGGTCTCTGACCTTCACACATACATACATACTGGCACACATCTGCATGAACATGCAACACACCACAGAACATACAATAATTTATTGCCAGGCTTTTAAAAAACTTTTAGACAGGGTCTCACTATGTACCCCATACTGACCTGGAACTTAGTCCAGCCTGGCCTCAGACTCAGCTCCCGCCTCAGGTTCCTTAGTGCTGAGATTACAAGTAGTTACTAAAAGCACTGCCTAACTGATTCAAGCAATGTAAAACAGCAGAATTTACCATTTACACAAGGGCCCCATTTCTTTTCTAGGGGTTTATGATTGTGACCTAGAAAAAGAAATTCCCTTTTCTGATCTTTGCTCAAGCTAGGCTCATTCCAGACAGGCTAGAGAAATGATTTACTTTAGATAATGTCCCAGCACCAACTGATTTTACAGGTTTCTGTGCTCTCCTATCCAGTCAGTATCTCCTGTAGGGCTACGTGCCAAGACAGGGACATCTGTACAATGTCACCACTGGCTGGCAAAATGTAGACTACAAGATAGAGAGAAGAAAAAGTCTGGGGAAATAACTCAGTTGGTATAAGCTTACTATGCAAGCATGAGGACCTGAGTTTGATCCCTAAAGCCCGTATAAAGATACCTGGCATGATGGCATGTGTTTGTAATCCCAGTGCCGGGCAGGTGGAAGTAGGAGGAGTCCCAGAGCTTGCTGGTCAGTCTAACCTTATTGGCAAACTCTGGGCTAACGAGAGAGCTTGTCTCAAAGGAGTTGAATGGCATTCTTAAAGATGACACCCAAGCACTCGCACGCTTGCATGTATGCACGCACGCACGAACACACACACACACACACACACACACACACACACACACACACACACACAGAAAAGGATATGGTGGCGCATGCCTTTAATCCCAGCACTTGAGAATAGAGGCGGGCAAATCTCTGTGACTTCCAGGTCAGCCATCCTTCTTAAAATAAAGGAAATAAAAATTCCCAAATTACAGAAATAAACCTTTTGGATTCTCGTTGATGTTATTCATTAACTGGTTTAGCTTTCTTCCCAGTTGTGCTTTTTTCTTTTTTCTTTTTCTAGACAGGGTTTCTCTGTGTGTAGCTCTGGTTGTCCTGGAACTCCCTCTGCAGACCAGGCTGGCCTCAAACTCAGAGAGATCTGGTTGCCTCTGCCTTCTGAATGCTGGGATTAAAGGTTGTGCCACTACCTTCTGGCTTTTTCTCACTTTTTTAACACCTAAAATATTTTAATTAGGGGAGCAGGTGTGGAGGGGAGGGAGAGGGAGCTGTGTCTGACATGGGAAGCAAGCTTGTTCCTAATTTAAATATATAATAAAAATGTAAGACTATTTTAATTACATACTATGCGTGTGTCTGCAGGTGGATATATGCATATGAGTGCGGGTCCTCACACTCTTGAACTGACAGAGACCTGCCTGCCTCTGCCTCCCAAGTGCTGGAATTAAAGGCATGTGCCACCAAAGTCCAGCTAAGATTTTTAAGATTTATTTATTATGTATGCAATATTTTGTCTGCATTCATATCTGCATGCTGTATCCCATGGAGCTGGAATTACAGGTGGTTGTTAGCTACATAACATGGGTGCCAGAAACAGAACTGGGGTCCTTAGGAAGGGGGGTCCTAATCACTGAGACATCTCGCCAGTCCTCTTTTTCTCACTTATAATGTATAATAACAAAATTGCTTCAGAAGGCTGTAGTATTATTATGTGGGTGTGTGAACATGCTTTGTAAATTATAAAATTCTAAAGCTATAATATTCAACTTGAAGGTAATTTTTAAAAACACCAAAATTTTAATTTACACATTAAGAAATGTTTAAAGTTATCGGAGTAAACTTGGGTAAGCTTAGCATGGCATTGTGGTGCACACCTTTAGCCCTTGCCTTCAGATAAAATGGCTATCTGAAATTAAGGCCAGCCAGAGGGAGTTCCAGGACAGCCAGGGCTACATAGAGAAACACTGCCTTGTAAAACGCACACACACACACACACACACACACACACACACACACACACACACACACACAAAGAAAACCTCAATAAGTTTGTAATTTGTCTAGTTGTGGGAAAACGATAAAAGGCAAAAAGATGGCTTCTTACTCTTTTCTTGCCTTTATCTTTGCAGCACGTGCCGATTGTGTCTTGTGGATTTTTTCTGGGAGCTGACTATCTGATTTTGGAGCACCAGTACCTGTTGTATTTGAGGACTTTTTCATTTCCCTACAAAGAAGTAATCTGAACACACATACATTAAGGTTTTAAGGTCATAATCCCCACATTATCACATTTGGACTAGACTCAAATGTCATATGATTGTTGTGTTAATTTTAGAACCCCTTTAAAAAGAAAGCATTGTGCTTTTAGTGTCGTTTACAATTTATATTCTTTTTATAATAAAAATACCAAGTGGTTTGTCGGAATGACAGTGAATCTATCCATAACCTCCTAACTGGCCTCCCTCTCTCCTATCTTTTTCCTCCTATTCACCCTACAGTTGAAGTTAACAGTTCTTCTTGTGACACCGGGTCGCATGTAGCTGGCCTCAATCTCATTATGTAGTAGAGGGTAGACTTAAACTGATCCTCATGTCCCAACATCCCAAGTTCTGGGATTACAGATGTTCACCACAACACCTGGCTCTTGAAGTAATTCAGGGATATTTATTCTCCTCACGAATTTTTTTTTTTACGAGACAGGGTTTGTTTTGGAGGCTGTCGGACCAGCCCAGCCTCGAACTCACAGAGATCCGCTTGCCTCTGCCTCCCAAGTGCTGGGATTAAAGGCGTGCACCACTACTGCCCGGCTTTATTTTATTTTATTTTTTTGGCACAAATTCTTTAATGGCAGGAGGCACTTTGCTGACTGTGGAAACCAGGGAGTGGGGGTGGGGTGTGTTTACACATTTTCTGTAGAGTTTTTTGTCCAGTTTTTATTAAACACTTGTGAAACTTTGAGTGAATTCCTTAACCTCTTCGTGGTTCAGTGCCCCTTTGGTCATGTGAGCAGGCATGTATGACATTACTTGATTCTGCCTGTAACTTTTTCACTGTTTGAAGCATTATATTCCAGTTTGGATGAAGCTCCCAAATTCTTAGTCATATCTTCAAAATACCTTTTAAAATGAAATTGCAGTAATATGTGTCTTCTTTATGCATAAGCCAAAAATCTAATAACCATTGTACTTTTGTAGTAATGAGCATCAGTGCTATTTTTAGTTAGCTGCCGTGACTGTAAATGGTATGAAAATGTCTCTGCTTTCTATTGGTGACACTCACAGGTACTGCTAATATTGGGAGGCTTGTAGCCTACACTGTACTTGAAGGAAATGCTAAAGTTCAGCTGGAGTTTAGAGAGGGTGAAGTTGTCATTTCCCTCTTGTCCCAGTTCACATACTCCCTGCGTTAAGAGCTTCCGCTGTAATTTATCACTATGCTTCACACTTTTAAGATATTACCTTACTGATGCAGAGCCTTCAGAATCTAGTCAGTATTTCTCCTTAGGGATTGGAGTTGGGGATGGCTTGGAACGTACAGTTCTGTTGAGAAGGAAAAGAGCTGCCCTTAACATTTGGGAGTTGGTCTAGCTGAAACTTAGCATTTTCCCTTCTCCGAAGCTTGCTGATACCTACAAGTTCTGCTTAAAAAGAAAAAACCTTAACCACGAATCACTAAGCCAAAGCTCACATACTATGACAAACTTAACACTTTCTTACTGAAATGCTCCACTTTGCCCCAGATGGGCATTTTTGTTGTTTTTTTTTTTTCTCGCAGCAAACTTAAAAAAATCAACCCTAATTTCTTTAAGGACAGGTGTGTTTCTAGCAGTCTTCGGATAAGGGGATAGTGACCTTCCACGGCACAAATCTCTGAATCTTCAGGATGCCTACGTGGCTTCCATCTTCTGTTGAATTAGGACAGAAAAACGGGACGAAATACGAAATGCACCGTCTTACGGGACGCGCTAGCATTTGCTGAGGCTCGCGCAGAGATTTCCAAGGCAGACTACCTAGAATTGGATCCTAGCTTTAGATTTTCCGCAGTCTCGGACACTCGGCAATGAGAAAACCATGCCTATCCACTTGTGTGGGAGCAATAAAATTACGCGTTTAAAGCAGTGTTAAAGCTTGCTTTTTTTCTGGCGAATAAATACTGTCATTTTACTTCAACAAGTATTAAATGGGACAAATATTTGATTTTCAGATTTACGCATTAGTACTTTTTTTTTAAGGTCAGTTTTTCGCGATTTAAATGACGTGATGCACTTAGTATAACCTAAAATTTAACGAACATTCAGCATACGTTAAATTCTTTACGGAAAAAAACCTTTTGTGAGGTAAATCGAAGCCTCACGATCGATCTGCAGTTCTAAGAGGCTGGTGCACCGCCTTGCGTCACCGCCTTGCTACCTCGGCTCACAGGATTCCCATCCGCGCAGCCAGGAGCCCAATGGTCGAGGCGAAAGCTGGTTCTTAGCGCTGCAGGGCGCCAAGGAGCCTCCCTCTTCTCCTCCCTCTTCTTACCACAACTTGCCGCCTACACGGAGCTGCCGCCTCTTGCCCCCGCCTAGCAACAGCCGGCAAGGAAAGCACGGCTAACGAGGAGGCGGGGCTTGAATTCCTCAGGCTCCCGCGCGCGGGTGCCGCTCTGTTGCTAGGCAACGCAACGCGCCTCCTAGCGATTGATTGGAGCTTTCGGCGGGTTGAGTTGGGAGGCGGGGCAAATCTCCTGCACCACAGCCTGCTCGCGGTCAAGGGAATGAGGATCTAAGCGGGCCTCCGTAGTCGCTTTTCTCAGTGGGCGGGGCCAAGGGAGGGGTGACCCTGCCGGAGCCGCCGCTGCCAGCGACATGTTCAAGGTGAGAGCGTGGAGCCGGGTCACAACTGTCGTCGCCCCCTTTCAGATGCCGGGAGCCCTTCTCACGCTCCCGTGGGGCCTCTTTGGGGATCAGATTCGGCTGTCCCCGAGGCTTTGCCAACTTCCGGGCTGGCTACGTCCTGGCCAAGCGAGTCATTCACTGCTTGGTACCAGTACCTGTGAGGCTGAGCCATGGGTGGGATCGGCCCTCGTGTGGTTCTCTCGCGAATGAAACGCTTTGAAAACTTAGAACGCAGCTATAGTACCCGTTTCCTCGGCTAATGCCCTTTTGGGGGCATGGGTAGGATGAGGCCAGGTCCGGGCACTGCAGCGTTCGTGGCTTTGGTTGCTTGGCAGGATCAGGTTTCAGAACCTGGCGGGTGGGTTGGGGGAGGGTCATCTTCCGAGGATGTCGGGGAGGCTGGAGTGGGAAAGGCTACTTGGGGAAAGCTGGTGAGCGTTAGTGTGGAGAAGTCACTCTTATTCCTATCCCCTCCCTTACATGTTGTTTTTTGAACTCCTGTCCTCCGTAAAGACATTTAAAGTGAAGACATTAAAAACCCTGAATTTTATCCTAAAGTTATTCTTTCTTAAAAGTCAGTTATATTTCGTCATTAAAAAATTACAGGCTGCACAAACCTCTAACCCCAGCACTTAGGAGGTGGAGGCAGGTGAGTTTGAGGCCAGCCTGGTTTACATAGCGATTTCTAGGCCTACATAAAGAGACCCTTAAAAAAAAAACAAGCATCCAGAAATCTATAAAATCAACTATCCAAGAAACATAACATTTACAGAATAGTGCTAATAAAATCTCAAAATTTTGCTATCCATTTAAAAGTTTCCTGCAGCTGCTTTGGGGCGCATTAGTAAGGGCTGCAAAATCAGATCATGGTTTCTGCCTTCCATTGCTGTGGTATTGCCAGTTTATAGCTATGTGATAATGAACATGTCACTTAACTTCTCCGTGACTGTTTTTTTTCTATTGGTGAAATTGGGGTAATAAAAATCTAATTGTGCCTGGCATTGGTGGCGCACACCTTTAGTCCCAGAACGGGAGGCAGAGGCAGGTGGATATCTGTGAGTTCCAGGCCAGCCTGGTCTACAAGAGCTAGTTCCAGGACAGCCTCCGAAGTCACAGAGAAACCCTGTCTCGAAAAACCAAAAAAAAGAAAATCTAATTGTAAAATACTGAGGAACATTATCTCACTAAACCCAGAAGAAGGATAGACACTGAACTCATTGGTTTGTTGGTTCCGTTGTCAACAAAGACCTGACCCTTCTGAATTTACTATGGTCTTGTTGGTTTTCCTTGCAACCAGGGGTGGTTTTTTGTCCTTTGTGTCTTTAGCTGTGTTGAGCATTTGTTTTCGTTTTGATTTTTTATTTTATGTGTATTAGTGTCTTACTGCATGGATGTGTGTGTAACTCATGCTTACTTGCCTGGTGCCCACAGAGGCCAGAAGAGGCCTGGGACTGGAGTTACAGGTGGTTGTCAGATGTCATGTGGGTGCTAGGCGTGGAACCTGGGTCCTCTTCTCTCAGTGCTGGGCCCCCATCTGGTGCAGACTCATGCAGGTCCTGTGCAAGATGCAACAGTCTCTGTGAGTTCCTATGTGTGTTGTGCTGTGTTTAGAAAGCCTTGTTCCCTAGGTGTCCTTCATCCTCTTTGACTCCTACAATATTTCCTCCTCTTCCACAGGGTTCCCTGAGCCCTGAGGGGAGGGATTTGATGGAGACAGCCCATTTAGGACTGAGTGTTCCAAGGTCCAATTGTGGGTCTCTGCATTTGTTCCCATCTGTTGCAGGAGGAAGCATCTCTGATGATGGTTGACCAAGGCAGTGATCTATGAGTATAGCAGAATATCATTTGGAGTCACTTTATTGCTACATTATTTTAGATGAACAGTCGTATTTAGTTTTCTCCTATGTTCATGGGCCTATCAAGTCTCTGGTTCTTGGGCACCTGGGCAGTGTCAGGCATGGGTTCAATTTATGGTGTGGGCCTTAGTTCCTATCAAATAGTGGTTGGTTATACCCACAAATTTTATGCCACTATTGCACCTGCATATCTTGCAGGCAGGTCACCATTTTAGATCATTTGGTTTGTAACTGGGTTGGTGTTTACCTTTCTCCTCTGGTAGTGTAAAAAGTGCCTTCCAGTTTTATATTATGTGTAAAATATATATAAAACCCTATGTGTCAATAAATGACGAATTTTATTTTGATACCAGGTATCAGCAGTTGAGAGCCACAGTCCATCAAATTGTAATGTGCATGTGACTCTTATTAAAAGCTAGGTTGGGATGGGGCCTCAGATTTTCTTATTTTTTGAGCATCTCAGTGCCATTGATGCTGGCGGTCATCAGACTTTGAATAATTAATTTAGGAAGCTCCTTAGTGCATGTTCCCTGTGTTTTTGAGGGTGATGATTTCATGAATGGGGTAGGATTTGGAAAAGGCACTGACCAGGGGGCAACAACAACAACAAGGGGTTGCAAAGGCTTTGCTGAGAGTTTTGCTACTACAAGTCTCTGCGTAGAGAGGATAGATTAAATGGGAGGGCTTCTCTGGCTTTGGGAATTGCCAGCTTGGGAAGACTAGGACTGGAAGGTACGAGGCTTAATAGTATAGGTCTTGATAAGGAAGTGCATGTGAGTAGTTTGTTATAGGTATATTTAATGTTTAAACTGTGACCATTGTTTTCTTTTCAAATTTTTATTATTTAATTATGTGAATGTATGTGCCCAAGGAAGTCAGAGAAGTGTTGGTTCCTTGAAGCTGGTGTTCCAGGTGTTTGTGAGCTGCCTGATGTGGGTGCTGGGATTCGAACTCTGGTGCTCTGTAAGAATAATAAGAATAAAATGTAACCAGAGCCATTTCTCCAGCCCTGTGACCATTGTTTTGAGTTGGCTATTCATGATCAGGTTAGTAGGGATCATTATGGATTTTTTAAAAATCACATTTGAAAAGTGTGCCAGTGTTTGAATTCTGTTATTGGAAGCAACTTTTCTTTGTGCTGTAGCAGGAATTTTGAATACCAAATACATACATCCAGTTTGCACGTGCAATACTAGGATTCCTTCATTTCATATATTTTATTTATCAGAGCTATGGCCTGGGCATAGTTAGTTAATATACTGTGGAATTAACTAACTATTTGTTTTTTTTCAGACAGGGTTTCTCTGTGCAACAGCTCCAGCTGTCCTGGAACTCACTCTGTAGACCAGGCTGGCCTTGAACTCACAGAGATCTGCCTGCCTCTGCCTCCTGAGTGCTGGGATTAAAGGCATGCGCCACCAACACCCAGCTTAAAAATCAGTCTTAAAGAATATATTTTATAACTTTTGCTAAGTTTTCCCCTAGTTTATGTAGGAAAGTTAAGCAGTACCAGTTTCTTTTTTTTTCTTTTTTTGCTTTTTCGAGATGGGTTTCTCTGTGTTAACAGGCAGTCCTGGCTGTCCTGGAACTTGCTTTATAGACCAGGCTGGCCTCGAACTCTCAGACTGGTAAGTAAGGAAAGAGTGAGACAAGGACTCTGGCAGCTCTCCTACACTGTGCATTGGTGACTTATGTCACCTGGAAAATACTGCCTCTGAGCTTGTTTTTAGGATCTGTTCAGGAGCACTGTTAATGTTGCTGCATATAACCCAAATATTATTTTTCTTGTCTTTATTCTTTTTTAAACAAAGATTTTTACCATAAATCCAGATTTCCATCAACTAATTGAATCTTAGACATAATTTTTACTTAAAAAATTGCAGTTTTCTTTAAAGCACACTCTTTGGTCAGGAGATTTCTTAACTGTTTATTATACAAGTTTGTTACTTTTTCTATGTATATTTGAAAAAAATCAGATAGCTATTTTTACAAGGATAAAAATGAAACAATTACAGATGAAATGTATTTTATTTGCTTTATTGATATAATTTTGTAGTGATTTTGCTCCCCACCCCCAAAGAAAGTAAAAAGTTTTTCTGTAAGGAAAAGATGTTAGTCTTCTTTTTCAAGCCTCAATTTTTTTCTTTGCTTATCTTTTAAGATTACAGACTTTATAGTAGATACAGAAGAACTAGGGAATAGCAGCAACTTTGACACAAAACTACAGAATTGAAAGCTTCTTATAAATAGTTCTGTTTTTTTTCTTTATATCTTTTTTATTTAGACAGTGTCTCAAATAGCTCCAGCTGGTTTTAGACTTGCTGCACAGTCATGGCTGTCCTTGAACTCTTAAATGTTTTTACATTTATTTATATTATTTTATGTGTATGAGTTTTTGCTGGCCTCAAACTCACAGAGATCTGCCTGCCTCTGCCTCCCGAGTGCTGGGATTAAAGGCGTGCGCTACCACAGCCCGGCTTGATGCTACTGTTTTTAATGTTTTGGACAATTTTCATTTCATTTCATTGTCTTTAAAATGTTCTTAAAATAAGTTCCCAAAGCATCTTGTAGAATGGTGATTTTTGAAACTTGGCTTGTGGTGGGAATGCGTTATTGGGTTCCTTTAGATTTACTGAGTCAGACTCTTTTTTTTTTTTTTTTTTGGTTTTACAAGATAGGGTTTCTCTGTATTGTTTTGGAGGTTGTTGGACCAGCCCAGCCTCGAACTCACAGAGATCTGCCTGCGTCTGCCTCCCGGCCTGAGTCAAACTCTTTAGGGGAAGGTGCTAGAATCTTTGCTTTTAAAACAGTCCTCTGATGATTCTGAAGCCCCACATGTCCATAGGCACAAAAAGGCCTTTTATTGAAAAGGAAAAAGCTACATAATTTAAATGGAAAG